AAAAAAATGTTATTGGTTGATACAAAGCGGTCACCTAAAAACCTTGCTGTTATGGAAATGTGCGATGCAGGTAAATTTAGTTTGTAATAGAACGATACAAATAATATCAATTTCACATTTTAAAAAACTAGAAAGATAGATTATTAACTGCTCTAAACAGGCATATGGGCTTCAAAATTTAAGATCAGATAGTTATTGTCTTCCTTTGGGTAAATGATTCTTTAAGTAAAAGAAAAGAAGCAGAAGACAAGTGGTAGGCACATGTTGTGATAGTCGAAAAGCGATCTTCGGGAGAAAACTGGCCAAAAATGAGATCAAATGGTCAGAACAAATTCAAATTTTGCTTATTTAGATGTTAGAAATTCAGAACTGAAACCAATGTACATTTTACTAGGCGAGCTTACTGAATCTCACCCCAAACCATGATGATCCATCGTAAAGGCACAAAATACAACAGTACGGTGACTACTGATAGTACTGCTATGGCTAACCATGACAACCAAGGAGAGGAGAAGTTGAATGTGCTGAAAATCACAGAACATAGAATTAGAATATCTAAGAGGCAACATATGTAGCCCTTACTTTCGGACCCGTTGTAATAAGGCGCAAATAAATACTAAAGTGTTCTGAACCACTGTCAATGTCTCCTGTACAGACGATAATGTATCTCTTATAGAAGACGATGACTGAAAAGGTTACTCTTTAAAGGAAAAAACTTTAAAATTCAAGAAATATTTGTTCAAACGACACATTTCTGGTGTTAGTACATGCAATTAGATTGCTTTTACAACGAATAACACACTTCCTTATCCTTATCCTTTGTCTTGGACGAGTTGTGTCTAGAAGGTGGTGGTGGTGGCTCCTAAAATAATACGCACACAACACCATGCAAACCTATAGTCGAGTAGATTTCATCGTTCATCTGTGCCATTGCAAACCAGGCGCGTTTTTTCCAGAAGAATCACACGCCAACTAGTTCGTGCATTTTACTTAGTTTCATGAAAGGCATTTTCTTTGTATTTTC